ATATATTAACTCATTAAAGAAGGTAATAAAACCTGGCACAAAGAGCATTTCATGGAATCTCAGGTTGTCAGGGAAAATAGTGATTGCTTTTATTGTTGTTGTTTTTTATTTTTGTTTTGTTTTGGTTTTTCTCCGGTACCGGGAACCGAACTCACGACCTTGCGCTTGCCAGGCAGGCGCTTTTGCCGCTGAGCTAAATCCCCAGCCCCTAGTGACAGCATTAAAATGCTAGTAGTCTGGTGTTACTACCGGGGAACTTTTCACCAATCACTCTGACTTCCAGCCATCAGCCATCTTCATGATACCTTGCCTCAGGTAGCTGAGCTGGAACCAGGCTTCAGGAGGAGACCTTAGCATGAGAACAAAAGGGAAGGGCTGGCCCTCTGTGAATAGTTCCATCTGGGACAAAGGTTTGTTCCTCGACATTCCAGCCACTGTGAAAAGAGCCATAGCCCTCTTGCTCAAAACACTGCCTGGATTCGTCAGTGGAGACTAAAAAGAGACCAAGACAATGTGCCTATGAACTTGTAGTTTTAGTCAGTTCCTAGGAACTAATTTCAGTCCTTTTTGAATTGATCATGAAGCTGATGGCATACTCTTCTAGTAGGTCACTACCTCTAGGTGGCAGGTTTTTCAATTTTAGTGCCTTTCTCCTAAGGCAGTGGTGGTGAACGTATGGCACTCACACAGCAGCAGGCTATTTGTGTCATCAAAAGCTCTAAAAGGTTCTCCATGACTGTCCTAAGGAGATCTATTTCTACATTTAAAAAATGCTAAAGAGAAAACAAAATAACACAAAAATCAATACACTTTGGTAAGTATGACTTCATATAGAGATAATGAGATGGATCTTTTTGTTGTTGTAGACAAGTTCTTACTATATAGTTCAGGCTGGCCTTGAACTCACTATGTAGCCCAGGCTGGCCTCAAACCTGTGGCACTCCTCTTGCCTCAGTCTCCAAAGTTCTGAGATTACATTCATGTACCACCATGTCCGGCAGGTCATTTTAAGTATTTTAAGCATGCTGATGTGAAACTAAACTTCTCTTTACTGACCACAACAAAGACCCTAGCAGGGGCTTACATTACAATACTTAAGAAAGTTTGTTTTGAAAGTGAATTTTCCCCTCAGCTTCTTCAGTAAATGTTTTGGTAATTTTGGTAGATTATCTGAAAGAAATGATAAAAAAAACTTCCATTTGGACAACATGACACATTCATTACTCATTTATATTACAGTGCTGCCTTGGTTCACAAACTCAGTTCTTCCCACGTTTCTGGTCCCAAACCAAAATGGACAACTGAATCAAATTCACTGATTAGGTTCAATGTTGATCTTATGAGGAAATGTGAATTAAGTCTGTGAACTTAGGCAACACTATTTTAGACAAACTGTGTTGTGGAACAGAGGAAGTATTTTTAAAAATGAAATTTAACTAGCCTCAAAAACTGGGAAAAATAGGGAAAGTAGTAAAATAACATACAATTTTTGCCTAAAATGGGTTCATTTCTTAAACTGAAGCCTTCCAGTTTTGGCATGCCTCTGTCCAGGTGCTATGTCCGGACACGGGTTCACTGTGAATTTGTCCAATCTTATGCCAAATGGCCAGCACTTGAAAGTTCAACAGACACAATTGACAGAACAATTAGAAAACCAACTCTGACATCAGGAAGCGTAGTTAGTTAAAATAAACTTCCACTAGCTTAACAAATTTTCTCAGGTTAACTGTGGTATTTTTTTAAGTCATGTAAGAGGAGTGCAGCAGCCAATAGAGATGGACATGTTTTGATTGCAATGGTTTGAAATATTGTTGTCTAACAGACCTAAATCATACCCACTGGGTGCCAGTGAGTCCATGCAGATCAATTCATACTGAGTAGGAAATCAGAGGGGACCTGACATCTTAGGATAAAGGGAAGGCAAGGACATGGCCCTGGAGGAACCAAATGAATACTGCAATCCTCCCAGCACTCTGGTAAATGAGCAAACTCACATTCAAGTAAATAGTTTCAGATGGAAATAAAATCATAACACTTACTGTATGTTCTTGCATTAGTATTTTTTCTGAAGGCACAACCCGGCCAGTCAGAGATATTTGGCTTCCAAAGCACAGTCCCCAGGTCTCCAGTTCAAAACGAGCATCCTTGTTTCTGTTGATAGAGTTGTTTTAAGTCACTGAAGTGATTATTTTCCTGAGAATTGTAACCATTAGAAATAAAATTATGACTCACTAAATCATTTAGGGCCTGAGTCTATTTTCAGCATTCCTGGTTTCTGCTTCTATTCTTTGTTGTTATTTTTGTTTTCCTGCCTAAAAGAGCAGTGCAGCAACTGTGCCCATTTTGGGAGATGCAGGATTTGGAAAAGGCTTCCACTAGGGCACATGATCACAAAAGCGAGTCTCTGAGCCAGGGGCCAGGCAGAACTGGGCTCACCTCCCAAGCCCATATAGTAACATATGACCCTGAGCAAATTATTAAACCATGTAAAGCCTTAGCGCCTTACTGGAAAAATGTAAGGATAATAAAAATAACTATTTCACTAAGCTGATATAAAAGTTAAATATGAGAACACATGAAATGTGATGTGTTTACCCTAGTGCCTGGCACATGTGCTCAATAAATGTGCAATACCATCTCTTTTTTTTTTTTTTTTTTTTTGAGGCAGAGTCTTTCTATGTAGTCCAAACTGGCCATGACCTCACCAGGTAGCCCAGCTGATCTCCTCCTGCAGACTGCTAGGATTACAGGCATGTGTCACCATGCCCAACAAAGATATTACCCTTCTAATAACAACCTTGCTAATAAAGAGATACTTTGGCCCTCTAGATGTGGAGATGTCTTCTCAGAACATCTGAATTCACTGGTTTGGAAATGGATAGAAGATAATAAAGGAAGGAAAAGAAAGGGCTTAACACTTCTGTGGGTTCATGGGATCGACACAGGAGTTGGAAGACCATGAAGAGAATATGACTATTAGCAATAATAAATCTTTTATGTTTGTGTGGAACTTTAGGTTTGTAACTTAGTAAGATTTAATGATACTTTATGTTTAATCTCATGGGATTATGACATGATGTGGTTTCTACTGCACTGTAAGCTCCTTGAGAGTGGCAATCATACTGATTTGTCTCCGCTGTTTCCAATATAGTGCCCAGAACAAAGAATCCAGAAACTCACAGGACACTGATGACATCCAGCCTTCTGTTTCCTTATTAAAGCCCTGCCTCCTCTCTTAGGGAGCTCAAAACTCTTATCACTGTCACTCCATAACAGCTCATTATTTCTGTCTGTGCTGAGATTACATGTTTTGTCTTGTCACACTAAATTCTTTGACTTAATGATTTTGTTTCAGATACTGTCTTCCTAAGCTGGGATGGGAGAGACCACCAATGGTCAGGGGAAGAGCGGGAGGTAGCTGGCATAACTGAAAAGTGGCAGGTGGCTGCATCAATACACTAATCCATAGCCCAGTATAAGAGGACAAACCAGAACCTCTTCTCGAGGTGCAAGCAGAAGATGTCCAGGAAAAAATAAGAGAAAGCATACCCATAAAATGGAAACTATGAAGCCTGAAGCATGACAGAGATCAACATTTATCATATGAAGATGTTCAAGAAGACCCTTTAAGCAAAAAAAGTTACAAAATATGATGTATAGACAATGCCACTTTCCTAAAAGGGGAGGTTGTATTGAATTGCAAATATCTGAAAGAACATACAACATTCATTTAGTTATGATCCATTTATTTAATGAACAGCTACTGAAATCCCTCTCTTATTTTGCTTATATAAATTTCCACTTTCATGAGCAAGTATCTGAACAGCATTAAGGAAAACGACCATTTTACAACAACATGGTCCAGCAGAAACAAAAACCAAGTCACAAATACAACTGTAAATTTTCGAGTAGTGCTATACAGATGGTGAATGAGATTCATCTTAAACGAAAAAGCTTGAAAAGTGGGAAAATGAACATGCGGTGTAACCCCAGCCCATCTCAAAGCCACATTAAAAAGTAACAAATGAATTATTTTAAAATATGTATTATTCAACCTAATATATCCAAAATATTATCAATTTATGATGTGTCATTAGCCACACTTCAAATATGCAGTGGCCACATGGAGCTACAGTCTGAGACAGCACAGTTTTAGGGAGTCAGAAAGGAAAACCAGAAGCAGCTTGTGTCCCAGCCCAGGTTTCAGCAAAGTGTCATTAACTGAGAGCAGGAACACAGTCACAAAAAAAGACACGTCAAGTTTAAAGAGTATAGCCGGGGTTGTACTAAAGTTCTGCCTGCTAAGGCCACTGTATCATGATCCGACTATTCCAGGCCCTGAAGATGGCCTAGAGAGGTTTTTACTGTATTTCATTTTTGTTTGCTTGATTGTTGGGGAAGGTTGTTTAAATATAACCCTTATCTACATTCAGAAGTCTATCCCACCTTCAGTGTGTTAAGGAGATGAGAGCAGAGCTGTCTAGTTGAATGAAGATACAAACCCTATGAGCTTAGCCTCCCACCACTGCTCCTGAATGTGCTACTCCTGAGCATCTTGGATGAACCTCTGGGCTCCAGACATTTTTATTTCAATTCATAACTGCCTTATCCTGAGTCAAAAGAGCAGACATTTCATCAAGAGCTTGGGCATGATACAGATCCTTTCATTCTATGCACTTAGCTTTAGGCCTGCCTCAGAGCACATGCAGTCTCAACAAAGCAACCAGTACCTCTGGATGTCATCAGCCAGTCTGGCCAGGCGCTGCTGCCGGCCCAGAGGACCAAGACGCATTTCTTCAGCCACAGCCTTCATCAGGTGAAAATCCGAGGTTGCCTGGCCAGCCAGGCCTATGAAATGCAAAGAAAAACAATGTGGGAAAATGAACATGCAATGGAACCCCAGCTCACCTCAAGTACCGTTGAAGCTTTTCTATTTAAACTGAGTCAGATTCACCATCTGGATAGCACTAAACAGAAATGCAACCTATTTACATCACTTAAAGTTTTCTAGCAGCAATGTGTAAAAGAAAGCCAAAAAGTAACACATAGCATTATTTGAAATAGTATGAGTTATTTAACCCTATATATTCAATATGTCACCATTTCAACATGCAATCAATATTAAAATCAGTCATTCAGGTGGTTTCCGTTTTTAAACACTAAGCCTCTGAAATTTTTGCTGGTGTTCAAATTTCCCTCCAGTTTCTCAATGGAGCTATAGTCACACTGCAAGTGTTTAATAAACTTGTGTAGCCAGGGACCACCATGTTGGACTGCACACAAGAAAACCATTAGGTATGAGTATCCTCCCTCCAAAGATTATATCCTATTAAATTTTCATTATGCAGAAAAAATATGTATTATATATCACAAAAGAATCACACAATATACAAAAAGTAAGAAGTCCGCCTTTCTTAAGTCATACCCTATTAGTCAAATAAATATCATTAAAAATAAATTATTCAGATTCTACTATACATTGAGGATTACCTTCTGGGAGCTCATATAAAAAAGAAACTGGATCATTTTGGCACCAGTCTAACAATATACTTTACAAAAATCAAAGTCACATTATTTCTTATGCTAGTGAAATTTAAAAATAGCAAAAAGCAACTCGGCTTTAGGAAAATCTAGAGGTTTATTTTATTTACATCAAAATAACGAATGAATATATGAGGTAAAGGGCTCTCTATCTTCTCTCATCTTTATATCTGAATACATTACTTAAGGAGCCCATCCTCCATGAATTAAATCCATCTCTGGTATTTGTTTAGCTAATGAGCTTCTCATCATTCCTAAGCCTCTGCATCTCTGATCAGGAGCTTGACAGGGGTATAGAACACAAACATTACCTGTTAGGAAGCACAGCTCTGGTATCAGGTGGACAATCTTAGGCTCAGTGTTGTCATTTCTTTTGTTTTTCAATAGACTAACAAGCACTGGCTGATTTAGGTCAGATAAAGTAATATTATATTGCTATAAAATGCAAGATTAATGAGGAAATAGTTAATGTGGAAACACTGCAAGATGAGCATCTTTAGCAATAAACAAATCCCAAAATGAATATATTGTATAAGCAAATCTCTTCAGTGGAGGGAAAAACCCCAAGGTTTCCTACTCATTATAACTTTCTTCCCAGGACTCTTTTTATATCTGGGGGCCAATTTTATTATTTTAATCACAATATCTCTTCTATTGCAACACCATTTTAAGGTTCTCCCCTGCTTTCCCTGTGTTTTGCACAGAATCAGAACAGTTTTTGGCAGGTTCTATCATTGTTGAGAGACCTCCCTCAGGGAAACCAGCATTTCCACTACTGGTGAGTGAAGTACACCACCCCACGTGTAACTGGTTCTAAATGTGTTCAATTTGAAAGTGTCTACACACAACTTGGAAGCAGGAGTTATACTGAACTGACCTCAGGATTTCCCGAAAAGACATGATTGTCTTTGACATCCAGGGTGGTATGTTATGGAGAAGCAGCTAAGTCTGACAGATATGAACTAGATCCCAACCTCTTTGGTTTATTGGATTGTGACACTAGGGAACTTCCTCACCTTTCCTCACCCATGTAATGAGGATAACAGTATCTCAGAGGTATCCTAGGTAAACCAATAGCATGATATCTAATTTACAGAATCCTTGGTCATTGCCAGTTCATACTCCACTCCCTTTTCTTTCCTAAACTTGAATTTCAATGTTCTTACCCTGCCAAAACCTCATTTCCAGTGGCAATGGTTCTAAGTAACACTCAATTCCTGTAAAATTTACTTAACACTAACGACAGAACAACTGCAATTAAAATTTACAAAATGCCTGGGTGTTGCATGTTGCTGACATCAACAATTATAATGAAGAGTGTATAAGGCCAACGTTTCTCTATTCCATTGAAGACTTTAGTCATTGAAATGGAAAGTAACTCAGGAATCATTTTTGAAAGTGGCAAGTGCAACTAAAGCCATGTATAAAAGGCCTGGCAAAGCCTTAATCAAAACAGCTTTTATATATGACTTTAATAACTCAGTGCACATGGCTTGCTATGTTCCAGGAACTGCAGCGAATACAAAGACAAAAGGGCACAGTCCTTGCCTTCACTGCTAACATTATCTACAAAGCATAGAAACACAAATAATGATATGCAAAGCACGTTTTCCTTCAACTATTGTTTTCCTTTAAGAGTGGGAGACTTTATTGGGGAAAAGGAATGGGGAATAGGAATAGGGAAAAGGAATTCCCTATTCCCTATTCCTGAGAGACAGGAGGGGTCCCAAATGGGTTGCCCTCTTCATTTGTCTTACCATATATAGAATACAGACATTATCATCATCCCCTTCACATATGAGAAAACACTGGTGAGAAACTGAATTTTCTCAAGGCTCCAAAACTGGAAATTAGCACCTCTTAACTCTGCTGGTTACACCACTGAGTACTGGGTCCCTAGGCTGGTAAATCAGGCAAGGCTTCAAGAAGCAGGCAGAAGCCGGGGGTCTAGCTCAGCGGCAGAAGCACCTGCCTGGCAAGCTCAAGTTCCTGAGTTTGATTCCAAGTACAAAAAAAAAAAGAAGTAGGCAGAGTTCAAGAAAGGGCCCTGATAAAAATGTGAGAGTAGGAAAGTCCCAGGAAACAGCTCAAGCAAAGCTGGACAAATTTCAGAAAAAGGATCTTTTATTTAGATAGAACACAGCTTAGAAGTCCACTCTCTAGGCTGCTATTGGGCTGAGGGTATAGCTCAGCGGCAGAAGCACCTGCCTGGCAAGCACAAGTTCGTGAGTTCGATTCCCGGTGGGGAAAAAAAAAAAAGCTGTTATCTGCAGGTGAATTTTACTTTCTCCCTTGTCCCAATTTTCTAAGCATTTAAAGATATTTTTCAGGATAACATATTGTCTTCCACTTTGAAAACTACATAATAAGTCGGTGTTCCTTTCCTAGTGCAAAGAGAAGAACATTCTAAAAGTTAACACAATTCTGTTTCACTTCCTTCCTATTATGATATATATGCACCACAGGTCACCACAAAAAAAAGTGAGTGGGGTTTTTACTGAGTCCTTGTTCAGGAAATCACAGTCCTAAAAAATATCTGTTCAAACAAAACCAACTTCAAATCATGCAGGAAAGAAACCCAAATGTCTAACAAACTGTGAATTTAATAAGCAAACACATATACTGTACAGGATGCTTTGCCAACACTAGGCATTCAGATTCCTGTTCTACAAATAAAATGAATTCTAAAGGCAATGTGATCCATGCTACAGGTGTATAAAGAAGAACGTGTGTGACAGAAAGCAAGTCAGTGAAGATAGCACAAAAGAGATAACACCTGACCTTGAAGCTACAGTGTGGCCAGTGGTGAAGAAACGTCCAATATGGCTATATGCAGACGTCTAGCAAACATGCACAAAGACCGAGGACCAACTAATGTCCAGTGAGTGGGCAGTGGTGATGACAGCATGGATGCACGGTGGGGTGCCAAGAGAGATGACGCTAAAAGGTAGGACGGGGTCAAACTGTGACACTAGGAATGAAGAAGGAGAGGCTCTCAAGGGAAGGAACGGTCTCCATTTGCTTAGCACCCACGATGTACAGGCATGGGCTAAGGGCTCTGCATACACTATTATTTTGCTCAAACCTTGCATTACACGATGAAGGCAGGCAGATAATTCCCTTTACGATGACGTTTGGTAGGTAGTGATTTGCCCAAGTGACAAAGCTACAGTCAAGACCTTCTTACTTCAGTTTATGTTCTTAAACACAGTTCTGAGCAGTACTTCAGAAGGATCTCCCTAGTGGCAGTGGGAATGGTGTGCCATCATGAGAGAGCTGGAGCAAGGGCACTACAAAGGGTGTCTGCAGTATTTACCCCCTGGGGGATATGATGAGGGGTCCTGCACTCCTGCACTGGAACAGGCTAGAAAGGCAGGTGTGGGTTCCAGAGAGATTTCAAGGATTAAGAGGGCAGAACAAAGAGTTGAGGGTGAAGAAGAGGAAGAAAATAGAATGATTTCCTGAGACATCAAATTCCCAAGGAGAAACATGAATGGGAAAGATGATAAATTCAGTTTGAATTATTTAGCCTGAGGGGATATTCATGAAATATGTTCTGGAAGTGAAGATGAATGTGTAATTTGAGGATGAGGGCAAGGCAAAAATATTTGAGCAGCCTCAAAACACAAAGAAAAGATCCTACTTAAGAGAACCATGGCATATAATGGCTCCTTTTGAGGTGGAAGAGGCAGAAAAATAATCACAGAAAGCTGAGTCAGAACAACCTGAAACTTAGTGGAGAACCACAAAGGATGTGACCCAGTAGTCAAGGAAGAAGGGAGAAGCTCAGGCATGTGGGAGTGGTCACAGAGTCTAATGTTACTGAAATAGTTTCAGCTATAATTACCCTTCTGTGTAGAAAAACCACATTTATTTCTTCTGTGACTTTGTGCCCACTAACAAATCCCTTTCTCTGTCCTCCCCGGCCTTTGGTAATAATTACTCTGTTTTCTACTTCTGTGAGCCCAGCTGTTTTAGACTCCACATATGAGTGCAATCATGAAGTATTTGTCTTTCTGTGCTTGACTTATTTAACATATAGGACACAATGTATAAGTGTGCCAAAATACTACACTGTCACTCATAAAGATGTATAATTATCTGTCACTTAAAATAATTACTGATAAGGAAAAAGTGCCACTGAAAGCTGCTCAAGATGAGTGGCCTTTGTGGAGCTATTTCCGTAGCAACAGAGCTGGATACCAGACTGCTGATGTTTTTGGAAGAAAGAACTGAACAGGGGCTTGGAACTAGTCTAGACAACTTCCCAAAACTGGCTAAGGATAAAAAGAGAGCTTTTCCCAAAGGTGTAAAAGATCAGAGTTTCTGCTTTTGTTTTTTAATACATCTGTGAGATTTTAGAGACCAGAATGATTACATAAGATGCCCACAAAAGGCATGAAACATCGAAGGTGGTGGCAGGAGACCTGTGGTAATGAAAACAGCACTTCCAAGGGCAACGAGAGAGCCCACTAATAAATACTTCCTGATTATCTACTACATGTAAGGAACTATATTAACCCTGGGTATCCAAAAAGAAAGAGCTTGAGGTTTTCCCCAGAGAGCCCACAGCTTAGGAAGGAGGCAAAACCATTCATATCCTGCCTGCGACGACCTAATTCAGCTGGTTCAGGGAAGGGAGGCCAGGAACAGTGCCGGGGGCTCCCCGAGAGTTGGTGGCTAAGCACTGGTTTGTTGTTAGGTTTGTCAAGTTGTGAAGAGGGATACAAGAAGAGGAAGTGGAGTGTGTGAAAACCCATAGGGGAGAAACTGAGTCAAGGAACCAACCACAAACGGTCAGTACAGCAGAAAACTGGAAAGGGACAAGACAGAAGAAAGAGGGGCTGGAAAAGCATGGGTGGCCTTGGAAGCTCTGATAAGGAACTTGTATTTGGTTCCTACCACAACAAAGAGACACGGGAATGTTAAGTTTGGAATTGACACGATCAAATATGCAGTGGTGGGAGATTATTCACACTACAGTATAGACAGCGGGAGACAGGATGAGCATCCGAGCCAAGGCAGAGACAGAGGAAAGGCAGTAAGTCAGAGAAACACACGGCAGGCAGACTCAACCTGACAGTTTGGGGACGCTGGTGTTTATGTCTTTGTGTTTGTTAATTTGCTTTTGCTCTTGTCTCTTTAAAATAAAAAATAAAAAATTTTAGAAATTTTAAAAAAAAAGAAACAGAGACTTTTCTGGGCCAGGAGGAAAGGAGGAAATAAAGTTCTTACCTGTCTGTAGTAATCTACATAAGTGATCTCAGAACCATCCCACCTCTGAAAGGTATGTGTTGGTTTCACAGACCAGTCAATGTCATCAATGCGATAGGTTTTGTTATTGTACCTAGGAATTGAAGAAACCTTTTTAGAAAAGTTTTCTGAATCATCTCAGATAAGTAAATACTTCATACTTTTAATTCAAAGTATAAGATACAGTCTGTAATGTCAGAAATACAGAAGACTGCAACACAAAAATAGCTTTCTTTAACTCTTATCTGAGAAAATAATTAATTCTCCAGTCTATAGGAGGATCATATTCCAACAACATTCATAAGAAAGTCATTAGACTAAAACCTGTTTTTCTCACTAGTAAACACTTTAAGTTGAAGTATGTCATTTGTAAATATTCAAATGTCAAAACATCGCTCAAAACTTTCTCATTAGCTTCTAGGGTCACTCGGACTTTTTTCAGCTGTTTTTGTGACAAAAAACCACCAAAGTAGGTTGATGAACCAACAACTGTGACATCATGCTTAACCCCTCATCTAGAGCTGGCCCTTGGAAAAACCATGGAACAATTCAGCTAAGATCACTCCAGTGCCTTCTCCCCTCAACACTGCATAGCCTGAATGAACCCTTATGTGCCCTAGCCTGTAGATAGAAAACTCTGAAGCAGGTTTCTCCAGAACTCTCGAGACCTTGCAAGGTGTCTGTGAAAGAATATGATAAAAGCGCCTGCCTGGCAAGCGCAAGGTCGTGAGTTCGGTTCCTGGTACCGGAGAAAAACCAAAAAAAAAAAAAAAAAAAAAAAAAAAAGAAAGAATATGATAATCTAATCTATCAAGATCATGACAGGAAGATAAAGAGGAGGTGTCTTTCCAGGTAGTGGAACTCAACCAGTTCCACTGCTCAGCTATATAATCTAGAAAAATAACTTTAAGATGAAATTCTATGCAGACTAAAAGAAGGCTAGAATATCCCCTAAAATAAATATTTTTGGGCTGGCAACAGTATATAAGAAACTTAGTACTTAGAAAGTCACTGAATCTACTTAAGTTTAATTCAATTCAATGTGTTGAGGGCAAATTATATATATATAAACCTAGAGGTTTGCAAAGAAGTAAAAATATATTCTTAATCTAAAAAGGTATAGCATCTTACACAGAATGTGAGACATGGCTCTCAAGTTCTGTCCTGTAACATTAAAAAAGCAGTAACATGACTGTGAAGAGGTGAGTCTACGCACAGTGCTACGGAATAGACAAAGGGAGGGAACAGAACAGTGCCCACTTGGCAAGTAGAGGCTCAGAAAGGTTACATCTGGGCTATGTGGAGAAGATTTGAAAGCCAGAATTTGGGGTGTGGGGCCCAGGCAGAGGCACTGAAGCAGGAAGGACAGACTCTTAGGGTTAGAACAGGGGACAGGAATACAGCAAGGGATAATTTGGAACCATGTCAGCTTGCAGTGCAGAGTGCCACATAAGGAAGTCTGGACTCTAGACGGTTGAGAACAGCCACGTCTTCTAAACAGGTAACCAAACGGGTCAGACCCATGCTCCAGTGCAATTCCTGTTCCCAAACACCGTAAATGATTCATTCTCCTGAGAAAATGTATTTCTATGCAAACTTTTACCTTGTGAGAACAATGAGTCCTATCAGCTGTTGCTCACATGTTTGGGTGAAGCAGGATGCATCAATTTTGTAGCAGAGGTTAGTCATGAATTCCAGAACAGTCTCATTCCGGAGTACTTTATAACTCACGTCAGCACCAAAGAGAAGCCTGCTCTCAAAGTGCGATACAGAAATAGCAAACCCAGGCCAAAGGGATAATCTTTTAAAACAAATTAAAAGAACAAGAGAAATTAACATACAAAACACAATAAATGTCTTATTTTAAAAAAACAATAAAAATGACACAGAATTTCAAAACAATATGATAGGAAATTAACAATGGTTATTATATTGCATATTGTTATCTTCAAAGTAATGCTCAGATTACCAGGTACAGGCACGCAAAATTGATCAAACAATGTAAGAATTAACTGGTTCATTTCCATTAGTAATCCTTTCGATTACTAATAGAAATTAGTAGTACAATTATCTTAGCTATCTTGTGTATATATACATATTTTTTCCCTTCCTTTTCTCTTTTCCCCATCCTAATTATTTTTTTCCTTTTGAGCAGTTTCTTTCCCTTTCACTGTATCTATTGTACCTTTTTGATCTTATTTACTCTTTCATGAACAAAAACCAAACTGCACAGGAAGTACTTCAAAGAATCAACAACTGGGATCTCACCTTATTAAAAAGTTTTTGCACATCAAAAGAAATCACCAACAGAATGAAAAGAAAACCTACAAACTGGGAAAAAATTTTAGCCAACTGTAGTGGGTTGACAACTGGTGGTCAACTTATAACCCCCAGCTGAACTGAGTAAGTGTGGTGCTAGGTGTGGGAGGCCCATCTGAGGATTGTTGCCAGGAGTGTAAGAGGCAGACCTGGAGAAGTTATTAGGTTGTTGGGAGTTGAGAGAGGCTCTTGGGAGCTGGTGGAAGCTGCAAGGAGCTTTGGTTCTTTTGGAGGAGCTTGTCATGCTGCCTTTCCTGATGAACATGGCTGTTTTTATCCTCCAAGGAGCTCAGGACCTTGTTGGCACTGAGAATAGCTTCAGTTCACTTTGGGGGAGCTCTGGTCCTCACTTTTGAGCATCACTTCCTGGCTCCAGAGGGGAAGATGGTACACTCTCAGTCTCCTGGAGAAGCTTTCTGCGTTGGCTTTCCTGACAGGAACTCAGCCATCTTGATCATCAGAGGAGCTCGGGACCTCACTATTGCTGAGGATGGCTGTGGTACCTTTTAAGGGAGCTCTGGTTCTTACTTTGAGCATTGCTTCCTGGCTCCAGTGCAAATCCCTCAGTCTACTGTCACAGATCCTTCATCCCGCTGGCACAGACTTCCTAGATTCCACCACTGACCTTTGGGCCTTCCCAGTGCAGATCCATGAAACAGGCCTGTATGAGACATTGTTATGGGCTCTGGGCCTCCGGTTGGACTTATGGGAGGCAGTTATGAGCTCTACGTCTTTAGCTGGACTCATGCAGGACACTTTCATGGGATCCAGGCCTTCAGTTAGATTTCTTGGTCTACACTGTGTGGACAGATTTACTGCACTCTCTTATGTATCATTCCTTGGGTGACTTTTACAAACAATCTTATAAACTATGTGTCCTGTATTATATTGTTTTCCCTTGCAAATAAACACCAAACCATAACACCAACTGTCCCTCGGACAAAGGGCTTCTATCTAGAATATATAAAGAATTAAAAATAAACAGGCCCCCAAAATTCAAAGACCCAGTCAAAAATGGGTATCTGAGATGAATACACACTTCTCAGATGAAATACAAATGGCAAATACATGAAAAAATGTTCAACATCATTGGTCATTTGAGGAGGGCAAACTGAAACAACACTGAGATTCCATCTCACCCCAGAAAGAATGGCTATCAACAAGAAATCAACCCATAACAAATGCTGGTGGGGCTGTGGGAAAAAAGGAACCCCTCTCCATTGTTGGTGGGAGTGCAGACTGATACAACCACTGTGAAAATCACTGTGGAGATTCCTCAAAAAACTAGGATGAGAGGTTCCATTCAACTCAGCTATTCCCCTTCTGGGTATTTTCCCAGAATAAATGAAAACATCATACCACAGTGCTATATGCACACCCATGTTTACAGCAGCACAATTCGTGATACCTACATCTTGGAAACAAGCCAAATGTCTGTCAACTGAGGAATGCATAAAAAAGATGTATTTTTATACAATGGAATACTACTCAGCTATAAAGAAAGACAAACTCAAGGTTTTTATAGATAAACATTTTTAGTGGTGATTTTTCATTCTAATTCTTCAGGTCTGATCATTTCTTCTTTAGTTTGATTTCTTCGAGTTGCTGATTTTAAAATTTCAGTTATTTTTAGCTGGAGTGTCTTTAAATAAGTATGTAGCATAAAATTTAGTCCTATAAAGCAGAATTTCTCAGCATTGGCACTATTGAGATTTTGGATAATCCTTTGGACTGGGTAATTCTTTATTAGGGGCTGTTCTCTGAGTTGCGGAACGCTTAGCAACATCCTGGCCTCTATAGGAGTACTATGTTTATGGGTGATCTGTCCCCGCATGGAAACATCTGGTTTGAAAAAGCATGCCAACTCAAAGATGAAGGCTGAGGACAGATTTAATAATGAGAAGGAAAGAAAGAAGTGACATTATATACAGATATACATGAGAAACTGGAGCCCAAGCTACAGTTCTTTTCTATATGGTATGAAAAGTCTTTTGTAAGAAGCTATAGAAGTGACATGAAAACATGTATTCTAAAACTTACTTTGGGGATTTAATTCACTGTGATACTAGGCAAAGCTTCAGGACAAGCATTTCCAGTGGGGATATGCGGCAGTCTAGAACAACCCTAGACCTACGAAAATTTCTTATCTAGGTAGAGGTAAGTGACAGGATGAAAAGATACTGCATAGAGACCACTCCAGCTCACTAAATGAACACATGACAATCCCATCATTTTCCCTCCACCAGACAGAAGGCCACACACTCCACTCCAATTTTCTATCCCTTCTGCACTTCTCCCTTTGTCTGTGTGTCTGTCTTTGAGTTACCAGTTGCCTCTCTTTCACTTGAACATAGTATTTTAGAGCACTGCCCACCAACCAGTTCAAGGCAGAGCAGACCACTTTCCCTACAGAATTAAGTTCCTGGCTCAAGGTGGACATGCTGCAGGTGTTTAGAACAGTTCTGCCTTTCACTAGGGTAGTCTAGGTGGCTTCTCTGACCTCTATCCTATGATTTCATGTCAACCACCCTGGCTGTGCTAACTGCCTTTCACAAGAGCACTAGCTATATGCTGTAATATGGCTTTTCTCTTTCATTATTACTTCTTATAGGTAAAAAAATTCAGTTTCTGAGTTTTAGAATTTATGATAATGATCTATACTAATACAAGAAAACAGTCTATTAAAAACTCAAAATTTATAAAACTCCATTTTATTTCACATCTCAGAGACTCTCACAGGAGGCATAATGGTATAATATTGCATCATAAATTATACTGCTCACATATAACTATTTCAGAGGAACAGAAAATATATATAAACCTACTTGTGCTGGGGAATTTCCACTGGCTCTGAAGGCTTATAGAAGTTCCGTCCAATTTGGTACATAGACAACATTTTTAAGATCCTGAAAGTACATTGTTTTGAGTCTTTGATAAGTATTAGTAACAGTATAATTCTAAGCTTGTACCCATGCTCATCACAAATATATACAGCAAGAATTCTTTCTTCTTACAGCACTGGAATATTTAGATACCAAATATATCTGAGTATATATAAGTACTATCGCATAATAATTTGAGAATGATACCACTGAAATTACCTTTATCTGTCTAGGATTGACTGCAGTGATAAATATGTGGTCAAACACCAACTATAATGGTGGTTACTGTAACATTCTCGTTGCCCTAGGAATGGTGAGGCAAGCCACGTCTGAAAGCTCTTTGGGCCTCTCCCCTATTTCTAGAGAAGGATGCTGTGTTTCTGATGAAGCTGCTCAAGATCCCCAGGTGCTCCCAAATAACTGTGACAGCCTGTTCAGCAACTAACCTTGGTACCTGTAGGACTGGAGACATTGCCAATGAGACGCTGTCAGTGCAGGGAAAGCACAGGAAGTTTTGAGTGAGAATATGGGGGTTCCTACTCTGTGAGTCAAGCTATGAGCCTCTTTACCTGTAAAATGGGAGTTTAACAGTATGTGCCTCAGGGCACTACAGTAAGATAAAACAGAAGTGAAAAAGCTTCTTCACTAGAAGTACTTCCTAAAGATCAGCTGGTTTAAAACAGCCCCCCCTCAGAGAGCAGGGGCAGACTGGCTTCTACAGCTGTTAGGCCACAATGAATTGAGGCCAAAGTATGATCAAAAGAGACTGGACAAGACATCTGACTAGAACTAGCAAACAGGGCACTTGTGTGTGGGAAGTTCCTTTGTGCCTCTGCTACCCGGCCAAATCCCAAAGTTCCCTGATCTCATGCCCTCCAGAGGCTGCTATTAGCAAAGGGATGGCACCTAAGGCTTGTGAGTAACTCACCTTGATGATCCACACCAGCAGCTTGTAGAGCTGGTTCACACACTTTAGCATATCTACTTGTCATCTAGGAAGCCTGCTAAAAATGTGGGTTTTCAGGCCTCACCTCTGAAATTTTGTTTACTAGGTCGGGTGAAGGAACAGGGAATCTGCATTTGATCAAATTCCACCCTACATCCAAGCTGACTGAAAAACACAACCCTTGGCCTGGTATGAAGCTCACTGAGAAGCTTAGCGATCTATGCCTGCCTTCTGCCCCACATGTACATGTGAGAAGGTGCAGCCACGGCAGAAAGCGGCTGGCCGTGCTCTTCTACACCTCAACTCAGCCGTCCAGAAGAACTAACACTGCAGGTGACACTGTCAAACACAGCCAGTGTTTCAGTCTGGGCGTTGTAGGTGGAAGGGAGTATAGGAAATGAAGAAAAGGAAAAGGACACCCTCCCTGTGCTGTCAACAAGATGACAATAACCCTCAAATTGGATTCTTTATCTCAGCCTGGATCATACTGGATAAAGACAACTTGTGCCAAGGAGAAGTCATGATAGACTGTGTTACACATCACTGCCCAAGGACTCAAAAGTACATGAAAAATTGTTCTAAATGGCACTGTTGCTGGCACACTGCCTACAAAGTGGTTGATCATTTTAATACCCATGTTCTATCCTGAAGGGTACTATTAGCTCAAATTAAATTCCCATTTAAAGTGCCTTACTTTTTGAAGATGATATTGAAGACCTGGATGCATATGGGGGAGCTTGATGGTAGCTCCCTGGTTAGAATAACAGTTATCTTTACAGTCTCGCCTCTTTGAGTTTCAGTTGACAATTCTGTGACCTGGGAAGAGAGGTACTTAAAATACATTCTACAGATTATGCCCCTGTGTACAGAATACAGGTACTGTATTATAAAACCATCATAATGTAATATGCATTAACAGAAACAAAACTGCAGGTGTTAGTATGTGAGTAATAATCTAATCATCATGTTATTTGGAGGAGCTCTTTTCCACTGTCTTACTAATTCTAAAACAAGCAACACACCTCTCTACTCTCCAACTGTCGAAGAAAAATCAAAGCTAGACTCCGGTTCAAATACTTGACCCAGAGAGAATTCCAAAACAGTAGATCCTGCCCTTTGCAGGGTGGCGGTGACAGGAAGATAGATCGCAAATTAGTTTCAGAGTTTGAGAAAAGTAATGTTCTCCCAAGAAAATCTCACATATGTGATACCACGAAAGTACACAACGTACACATTTTCAGGGGGCTCACAATTGTCCAGAAGCCTGTAATTGTCCTACCCCTTCCAAGTTCGTGAACTCCTGTGACAGCCTTTCATAAGCTTATTCAAAATGCAGAAGAACAAATGAGAACACGAAAGCCAAGGAGATGTGTCGGTGTAAACAAGAAGAAAAACAAAGATGAGGGAAGGGAACAAAGTGGTAGAAGTTAGAAGAGATAGGAAATCTGATTTTAAAAATTTGTAAACAGTCTAGAGAAACCCTCAGGCTTCTTACAATCTGAAACAATGTTCATGCAGTACTGTTTACCGAAAGTATCTTGGACCAGACAGGACTCAGTAAGGGTTTTGGAAATAAAACAACTCAAAAATCAGTCAATAAGTATCAGTCAATGATCAAGGATTTTTCAAAAAGGTAACAAGGGCTGGGGATATAGCTCAGTGGCACAGTGCCTGCCTGGCAAGCTCGAGGTCCTGAGTTTGACTACCAGTAGCAAAAAATAAATAAATAAATAAAATAAAAAATAAATAAAATAAAATACAAAAGATAACAAATTAGAAGTGAGCAGCCAGGCGTGGTGGCTCACACCTGTAATCCCAGCACTCAGGAGGCTGAGGCAGGAGGATCAATGTGACTTCCAGACCAGCCTGGGCTAGAAAGTGAGCTCAAGGCCAGTCTGAACTTCATAGCAAGCCCTTGTCTCAAAAAGACAAAAAAAAAAAAAAAAAAAAATCATAGTGCTTAAGGGCATACAATTTGAAATCAGAGATCCTGATCTACTGCCTCTTACATCCAGTGGGATCTACAGCAAGTTACTTCAACTCCTTCAAAACTCTTAAAACTTTTCCCAATCCTAAAGTGGGAGTGAATCCAATTTACATCGCAGGACCATGGAGATAAAATGGGATAAGGCTTAGATTATCCTCATCCATGGCACAATCAGACATTGAGAAAGGTTGTATAGTAGCAGGGAGTGCCATATTAGCATGCTACTGACATCTAGCCATAGGACAAAGTATTAAAGGACCAACCAGAACTTTTTAGTGAGTAAAAATGCTTCTACCTTTACAGATTTTCTAAGCTATTAGATTTACCACATGGTATAATTTTAAAGTTCCACAACCAGATAAAATCTTTACTCAAGTAAGCCTTATGCATTCATTGCAAGGTCTCATAAAAAGATAAAGACCCCAAGAATGTCCAGAAATACATTTCTTGAGGAAATTAGTCTAGAAATTGAAATTTAAATCTACTAAACTGGTACCATTCTGCTGGAAATTTTGAGTTAAAGGATGAAGTTTTTTGCAGGCTAACAGCATAAAATTTAATCACATGCTTTGTTTTAATGTTTTCTACAGAAACTGGTTCTTTTTTTCCTTATGGAAATTTTAGTGTCTTACAACAAAATATACAACAATAATACTAACATCTGTATCTTAGGATTGAAAATGTTGGGGTATAAAAAGTATAAATAAAAAACATGAAACATGCAACTGCTATTTCCAATGGTTACATTTTAAAAATACGCTTAGAACTGATATCAGTAACTCATGTTTCATATGATGGAGCAAGTCACAAAAGAATGACAGCTCCAGACTCAGAGCCTGATGTGAAATTCTTTGGACACACAGGCACTGCTGTGCAGGAGCAAAAAAATAAAAAATAAAAAATTTTTAAAAAGTAAAATAAATTTAAAGCCCTGAAGCCATAGGCTAACTGATGTTTCTTACAAACTTCTATTTTGGGAAAAATCTAAAAAGGATCCTTATTTCAAGGGCTTCCAAAGCTCTTATTTTTAAAATGTCATACCACTAGCTTACTTAGGAAATCAAGTACTGATAAAGCCTTAATTAGGAAGTCTTTTTGCTCTCAAGCAAAGAACAAGAAAGAAGAAAAAAGTGAGTGACACAGTCATTCCAATTCTCATAGAAATCACTGTCTTTTAAAAAACATGTATGAGTATACCTCATACGCATACACACATATATATATTTAAAAATTACCATACTATACCTTTTCTTCTAGTTTTTGTGAGAGAAAAAGGATGGCACCATCGAATGCTTTTGCATGCTTAGCAAATCTGCTATGATTGTAGAGCAAAGCAACTCTCAGCCTTCTCGATGCTAAATCTGGAGTATATGTCACATGGTACTGATACAGCCGCCAGTCCTGGGGCAACTCTAAACTAAAGAGATTTGTGACCAGCTTCACAGGTATTCCACTGGAGCCTAAGAAAGACAAGTAAACATTTTTCACCAGAAAAAAAAAAAAAAACCGGCAGTAATGCTAGCCACATCATTTAAAGTTTATATGCATATGCACAGAAGTTGCTGTAAATGGAAGATTTTGCTCAGTGACACAAGATAAATTCTAAAACTTGCAGTCTGGATAATATCCTTAGAAGTTAAAGTGGGATGTGTGTAAAACTGGTCTCAGAAGAGCACAAGAGCAGGCACTGACCTTGTTGACCTTAGGAGGAGAAAAGCATTGCATTCAACTATCTCAGACTCTTCACAAGCTGCCTTCTAGTTTTGATTCCAATTCACATCAGCTGGTAATAATGGTCTCAGATACTGTCCCGACATTATGCTGCTTTTACGTTACAAAGAAACTGCCTGATTCTTACCACAAATACAAGTCCCAATGCCTGGGAAATCCAGATAAGCAAAAGTTAAACACATTTCTGAAAATTCTGGAAAAGTTCATCATTCGTCATACAGCTGTGCAAGTCCCACAAACGACAGAAGAAAAAGCTGGAACAGAGGAACTGTGTATTTCCTGCACGAAAACAGACAGAGCCTGGGGCTTCTTTCTGCAGGCACATGGAAGCCATGTGTGCTTCTAGGAGTTCTTTCCCTCTACAGAAATTTTTACTCACATCCTAAGCATCTATAGGACAAAATAGAGATAGCCTCGGCACAGTCAGTAAGTACTCACAAGGCCGTAAGCATCTCCCAGGACAAAGATCTAGGAGGTTTCAAGGAATTTCTTACCACTTCTCCTTATACAGAATTATCCCATTTTTGCATTGTAGAAAAGAATGACATATAACAGGCAGTATATACCTTTTCTCTTGTAGGAAGTAGAAACATAAGCCCCAAGATGGTGAGGAAGAAAAGGTATCATATGTGCCTTAGTATTTCTCAGCCTTGACCTGTGATATGTAGCTGGCAGGAGTAAGGAGTCACTGTGCTATTTTAAAGAAAAGTTTTCTTTTGTTCTCCCAGATCCTGAGGAAATGGCAACAGTGAACTAACAGAAGTGAACCTAGGATGTAAAAGATGGCAAGACTCTTGAGCTCATCTATACAAGTGTTTTCCAGTGCACCCAGCCCCACCAGTGCCGCACATATGAAATCAAGGAAAGGGAAGAGCACGTTCAATGGAAAGACAACAGAACAGGCTGTACCAGAGTGCCAGGCATACACTGAGGGCAAGTACTCCTTCACAGTGCTTTGCTTCACCAGGTGTGCTGTTTATTTGCTGGATGACAATATATCTATTTTGTTACTTTGGTTTTAAAAAGTGTGAAAAACATGGATCTGCATCAGTGAGGAGAGAGTCATAAAGCCTCCTGAGAATCCAATGAGAGCAACAGACCCGCTTCCTGGATGACACATACATCTGCAATTGTACCTGCAATTTCAGGAAAAAGTGTGGAATCAGGATAAAGAATTCCCTACACTGGTCACGTTTTCCTTTTCACAGCTGAATTCCATATAAGACAAGGGTTAGGAGAGAAGCATTTTTAAAGCCCCATTCCAGATGTAAGGGAAAAACTTTTGCAAAAGTGACACATAAGCAGGGCATGGTGGTGCACGTCTATAATCTCAACACTTGGGAGGCTGAGACAGGAGAATAGCATCAAGTTTGAGGCCAGTCTGGGCAACATAGGTGTTCAAGGCCAGCCTAAACTGCATAGAGAGGCCCTGTATTTTAAAAAAAAGGAAAGTGAAATGTAGCTTTAAAGAACCTATTATTGGGCCAAGGATATAGTTCAGTGGCACAAGTGTCTGGCTGGCAAGCGCAAGGTCCTGAATTCAATTCCCAGTACCTAAAAAATAACTTATTATTATTTCTATTAATAAAAGATACAATTAAGGCTAAAATACCTCACATGTCTAGACAGTGACTTGAACATAACACATGTTGAATACACATCTATTAACTGAGTATATAAATGTTTTCAGATCTAGGAATTCAAATTCCTCTGTAATATTAACAAATTCCTTGGTAACATTTCAGATCTAGGAATTCAAATTCCTTGGTAAGTAACATGCAGACTGAGTACCTGTTTTGCCATCTCTCACATGCGCCAATTTCTCCCTGGTGCAGATACCCAAGTCCATACAGTCCCGTCTTATTTTCACACCTTTTTCTACAAAGGTACTTCCAGCATCACCAGAAGATACACCCTTGTTACCTAAAATATGAGAAAACACAATAATATATCATTTTTGTACTACTAATATTCTCTACAACCAATGTATCAAAAATGCATCTATAAACACAACACAGGTATTTATGGTTTTAATTAAATTCCTGCATTGGTGGAAACACTCATTCATGATGACACAGTTTTCAGCCTAAAAACTTTAAAATGTAAATAAATGGAATGTTAAGAAACAGAGATCTTGAAGATAGTCCCAGCACTAATAATACTGCAGAGTTTCTCTTCTTGGCTGAGGAGAAAGCTCCATCTCTCTACCCACTCCACTCCTATTTATAGAGGGCTGCTCTCCCTCATTTAGTCTTGGGCAACACCCTGAAAGCCTCAGGTTTGGACTGCCCACACTGATTTCTGCAAAGAGGAGCTGAATTTGTCACTTTTCCCAGTGGACAGAAGGGGAACTGCCCAGGACACTGCAGTCGCTCTTTATGTTCCAACGTTCTCCAGGAGTATGAAAGCCAGTGCTTTACCTTGAAGCCTATCGTGGTTAGCTTCTAGAAAACATGAAATTGAGATCTATTCCCAAAGAAGGGTCTTCTGTTCAAATGCGTACAGGAGATTTAGGCTTTTGACTATGTCTTTGGCAGTTTGAAGACAACTGTTTTTTATTTTCACCTAGTAATAATTTTCTTTTTTAGTTTTTATGTTTATCAGCACATTTGCAGTATGTAATGATTACACTCATCATGGGGAGTTAGTACATGTACATTGCACATCTTAATTCTTTTTACATCTCCTTCCCCTCCCTGAAAATAAGTCTAAAACATCAAAATGAAGGATGTTACAGTACTCCAAAGTAATACAAACAACAGTATGCTGACTCTCTGGGACTCTGACTTGACCCATCCTGTGATAAACTTACTGTGTGCAGTTCCCCCAAATGACACTGCCCCCTGCTCCAAAGTTCTGCCTGTACCCTTCCCAGAGGAATATGAGTGTCTCAGGAAAAATCACAAAGTTCATTTGATTTTCTTAAACGTTATTACCCTTACTAGATTGTCCTTATTATTCACTGCTCTTCGTGTCAAAAGTTATCCGACAGTTTCTAAAGCTTTAAGTTATCACAGAATATTGGCTATCAAGGGCTGGGGGAGAGAGGCATAGGGGTTTATTGTATAATGAGTGCAGAGTTTCAGTTTTCCAAGACAGAAACAGTTCTAAAAATAGTGGTGATTACTGTATAACAATATGAATGCACTTAACATCCCCAGGCTGTATATTTAAAAACAGTTTTGATATATATATTTTTGCCATGATTTGAAGCAGTAAACAAAAATTCAATCACAGGATAAAGGGTGTCCCTCACTTGGTGTTCACAAGAACGCACAGCAGATTTGGAAAGACATCCCCAGGCTGGGATAATGTTTGAGTGTAGGGGTGTGCTGGGCCCAACACGCCGCCTCTCAGGGCAGGTCTGTGCTCATGGACACATTCAGCGCTGTGAGCTCACCACAGAGAGGGTACTTGAGCAGGGCTGGAAATCCTCCAGCAAGCAACAGCACGGTCAGGCACCTGATACTGGTTGAGTTGCCAGGTTCTCCGAGCCTGCGAGAGCCTAAACTCTAAGAGATTATACATTTATTAGAAATCAGTCGCTACATTTCATGGCGAGCATAGGGAGATAGCTAACAGGTTTCACCTAGCGTCACGGGCTGAACTACACCACTCCCCCAAAAGAGCTGAAGCTGAAGCCCCATTCTCCACTCTTCACAAAGTAACTATATTTAGAGCTAGGTCTTTACAGCAGTTACTAGGTTAAAGTGAGGTCACTGAGGTGGCCTCTGAGCAATACGACTGGTTTCTTAAGGTGAGAAATTAGGACACAGAATGCACAGAGGAAACATCATATGAGTCCAGGGAAAAGGTAGCACCTACAAGCCAATGAAAGGCCTCAGGAGGAACTAGCCCTTGAACCCTCCTGACCTGAGACCTCTAAATCATGAGGAAATAAATTCCTACTGCTTAAGCCACCTTATCTATGCCACTTTGTAAAGGCAGCCCACACCAACTAATGCTCCATCAGATATGGCAGCTCACAGTCTAGGACAGTGGCTACTTGGGCAGCCCATAGACGAGTATCCTGAGATACATGTGGCTCTGCAGGGAAGAGACCTATACAATCACATGGTAGTACCTGCCCTAGGTGAAGAGGGATGACATGAGCGGCAGCTTTTGTACCAAGTTTCTACCATCCCTGCAAAGTGATTGCACTGGCACGTGTATACCAGGAAGACTTCTGGAATACATTTTCAAAATTCTTCAATAAACAGAAAGAATCAGAAAATTGGCTTAACTAAGTCTGTGGATTCCCACCAACCGAGCTGTTAGGAAACCCAGCAACTGTGTTAGGGGTTGCCAAGGAACATGACAAGGGGGAATCCCGCAAGCAGCAGAGAATGGGAGGCTCAGGAAGCCAGCCTGCTGCTGTCAGGCTTGGTACCATCCCGCCTTGGGCAGCTGACTGGGACTCGGGGATGGGGTGAGTGGCACTTACCATGCTGTGAAGTCCTGCTTGTCCCCCCCACGCTGCTGCTAGAGGAGGCTTCACTGTCACTAAGACCGACTGGTGTGAGCTAGAATGGGACAAAAATGTTTTGTTCAGATTTGCTTAAGGTAAGTCACAAGCTAAAAGGTTATCACACAATAAGAATAATGCAAGTCAGTAGACAAGCACGGTCCAGGAAAAGAAGAGCTAACAGGTAAAAGCCTAGAGAAGCAAGAAGCAAGCGTCCATTCTAGGTAAAAGGATAACGGACGAGCTATAATTTCCCACACCCATCCAACTGCTTTTAGTAAATGTGAAGGAACATAAATGAGATCCTTGTGCTCAGGGAGCTCACCTGAGGAAATGTAGCACAGACACGCGTGGATTTTATTCCTTCATGACCCACTGGCATGAAAATAAACAGAGCCTAGAGGACAGGAAACACCAGCCCAAAAGGACGACTCTCCTGAATAAACTGGACCTCCTAGTCCACAAAACAGGAGGGAACTATTAATATGCCTGCCTTCACAGAAAGGAATAGTCTTTCAAGAAGTTGCTATATGGCGGCCTGCTAAAAAAAATGACGAGAATGAGGGCATGATGACCACATACTACTTAAGGACGTGCTCGAAGTCTGAAAACTGGCTGCAAACACGGAGTATATATTTGTAACACACACCAAAAGTTACGTATTTGTGGGTCAATTCACCAGTTGCCTACGTCCAGCAAGGAGCCACACCCATAGTGGCCGCTCAAGCAACAATGGCTGAACCCAAACCACCTCTGTGTTGGAGATGACTCAACTGCATATGCCAATTAGATCCAATTATTATTATATGATATGCCAGAGTGGTACAAAAGCACATCAACTTTTTCCTAAGCACTTTAAAACCAAATCAAGTAATAAGGACTCAGTAAGTGGAACGCAGTGGCACACTCGCTCTAACCTTCAGTTCTCTTCTCTGGCCAATATATTTACCCCAATGCTAGGTAAGAGTCCTTGAAAGCCAAAAATGCGAGAAACCTCCGAAAGAGTCAAAGATGACGGAAACAGCTTTAACAGAGCAGAGGGAAGACGGACGCAGAGAAAGGCCCTGCCGGGATGCAGGCAGAAGGAAGACAAAACGAAACAGCTTACCATTCTGCGCACCGGGGGCGAGGCCGGGGCACACTGCACAGCCTGGGCATCGGGAATGCGGGCCACACCTCGCGCCCTCACACGGGCACGTCCACTCATGTTCCCGGCAGCCCAGAGCAGCCTCTAAGGCGGCAAAGTCTAGACTAGGGTATTTTCCTTGGGGAACAGATGATGAAACTGTGCCTGGGAGGCGGTCGACGTCCAGCCTAAGGATGCAGTCACGCAAGTGCTTCTCCAAGCTGCCCCGGCTACAGCATGTGGGGCTGGGGGTTAGAGCACGTGGGGCTGGGGCTTAGAGCACGTGGGGCTGGGGCTTAGAGCACGTGGGGCTGGGGCTTAGAGCACGTGGGGCGGGGTGGGGCGAGGCTAGAGCACGTGGGGCGGGGAGGGGCGGGGCTAGATCACGTGGGGACAGACCAGGGCTGGCTTTCCTCAAATTTGGTATTAGCCAACTGTTAGTTTTTGCATAACATAGGATCAAACTGTTAACTTTGGTTGGTTTTTTTCTGCTTGCAGGTGGGTAAAACTATCAGATCTGTGACAGTCTTAGAGTTTTCTGTTGTACTGATTGCCCACTTACATCTGGTTGCCCTGTCTAAAACTGTTTTTCAACTTTGTGGTTTGGAAAGAACCTTACCTTTTTTCTTTGCTTTTCTTTTTTCTTTTTTCTTTCCCTTTTTTTTTTTTTTTTTTTTGAGACAGGGTCTCGCTATATGGTTCAGGCTGGCCTTGAGCTCACTTTGTAGCCCAGGCTGATCTCGAACTCACAACAATCCTCCTGCCTCAGCCTCCCAAGCACTGGGATTACAGGTGTGCACCACCATGCCCAGCTCTTTTCTCTTTTTATATTGCAAATATCTATTCCTAGTCTAGCACCTGTTAATTTTGACAGTGAGGTGTCTTATCTAACCCAAACCTTAATTCTAATGTTGTCAAATCTAGCAATTTTTAAAATGCTAGTCTTTGTTCTTATGAAGTCTTGTTAAAAGAAAATTTTCCCTGCCCTAACGTTATAGTCAGGACATGACGTGACATTTTTTAAAATTAACTTTGTACATTTATTTTTCACACTAAATATCTTCTATCCCTAGGATTTTACACATACCAACACATGTATGTATCTGAACTGAGGTAAGGATACAACTTTATCTCCATATGCTGAGCCAGTTTTCCTTGACATCAGCTCAGCAGTCCAACTGACCCTGATGGTTGTCAAGCCACCACCGGCAAATGACTAACTCCTGTGGATACTTAGTTCTGGTCTATGCCTTCCCTTTCTATTCTTTGTGTTTCTTATTTAACTATTTATACAATCTAGAGATACCGTTTTTGTTCTCTGACATTTTTCTAATTTGTTTAGTCACAAAATTATGTAATAAATACAGTTTTCCCATATGTCATCCTTCAAATGACCTCATGTGCATGTGTTGGCTTATCATACTGCTAACCACTGATATGTTTTGTGTTGCCCTTCATGTTTTCCTGTCTACCTTTTCACCCCAGCCACTGCTGTGGCAATCACAGGCACACAGTGAAACCTTATACATGTCAGCCTGCACTTGCACCTTTCATCCTTCGCTCTGTCTCAGGGTATCTCTGCTGCTGCAGCTGTAGGACACTGCCTCAAACCCACTCAGCCATGTGACACAGGAGCATGCCTCAGTGTGCAAGAGAGTTAACGCCTTGAGATGGGTAGATATCAATGAAGAAAGACACAATTCAAAGATTTGCCTAACTCATCCCACAAGTCAATTGTTAAAAATCACTTTTTTGGGTATTTGGTGCTACATCTATAATTTAAATTTTAATTTTTTAGTTAGAAAATCCTGTAAATAATAACTTACAAGAGCCAACATGTTCACGTCAGCTAATTAGTTCAATACCCTTGGTTCTGGCTAATATAAAATTAAGTTCCAAGGCACAAATAGATGGTTCAATGTCTGTAGAGTTACTGCATCAATGCTATTAACATCCTTGGGCTCTATTTCAGTAGTATTACTAGATTAATTTAAACAATCTTGTCTTTTGCACTTATTTTGAAGTAAAACACATTTACAGAGAAGTTGCAAGAGTAGCTCAAAGAACACCCACAAATATTTCACCAAGATTCAATGGGTAACATGTTGCCATATTGGCCTTATTTTCTATTTATACATGTGCATTTTCCTGATCTATTTACAAGGAAGTAGTAGACATCATGCTTTTTGACTGCCAAATATGTTAGTGTGAATTGCTCAGAACAAAAGTATTAGCTGAGCTTGGTGATGCACATTTGCAATTCCACCACTTGGGAGGCTGAGGTAAAAGGATCATTGTAAGTTTGAATCCAGCCTGTGCTACATAGCAGGACCCTATCTCACTTCCCCTGCAAGAATATTTTTCTGTTCCTTTATAAAACCATGGTATAGTTACCCACATAAATCAGATTTAACATGGACAAAATATTACTGTCTAACAACTACAGTCCATAGCTAAATTTTATCAGTTGTCTTAAAATATTTTGCAAGCTTGGAAGCAAAATATAAATAATTTTTTATATTTTTTTTGGTCCAAAATATAGTTAGGTCAGGATAATGCACTGCATTCAATTATCATGCCTCCTTAGTTTCTTTAATCTGTAACATGAATAGTCTTTTTTTTTTTTTTTTTTTTTTTGGTTTTTCTCCGGTACCAGGAACCGAACTCACGACCTTGCACTTGCCAGGCAGGCGCTTTGCCGCTGAGCTAAATCCCCAGCCCCATGAATAGTCTTTTTAAAAAATTGTGAAAAATACATTATTAAAATATCCAGAGAAAGAAAAATTCCTATTAAGGCTTAGATGTTAAAGTGCTTAACCACTGTGATGGAATCTTTCCAAAATACATCTCTGCTTCCTTGTCACGTTAACCATGCATCATTTGCTTCCTTGTTCCACTGTGCTCTAGAAAGGATTGAAAATTAGGTACACATAGAAGATGAAATAAAAGGATAATGGTTGCAAAGGACAGCTTACCCTTTTCTCCCTGGCTCCTTGGCCAGTAGGTTTATACTTTGCTCCATACTCTCTTTCTTTAAGAAAACCCATCCACTTCAGCAAGGCCTCTCCTCCAGTGACTGCAAGGTTTGACTTTCCTTGGCATTGCACTTTTCTGTGTGGTGTTCTTCTTCAACCAAAAAAGAAAACAAATTTTTAAAAAATTTTGTCTTACAATTTAAATGCTAGAAAGATTATTACATTACTTTAATAAATTAAAACATCTTCTTCTACCTAAATCATTTTCTCTTTGACTGTAAATTAAATTAAAACATTTTCATGGACCCCTCAAAAATATTGTAGGCCCTCTGGACTGTGCCTGCTATGCCCATTGGACAAGCTAGTCCTGCTCTCAGGCCCGTCTGCATTTCCCCAAATTGTGTGATGTGGTGTGTAAACACATTCATGGGTTACAGCAAGAAAGCCAGGGAGGGCCACTGACACCTAGTACCCACAGAAGGGTGCCGAATTTGGAGAGCAGGAAAATCCTGGCCCTCTAACATCAGTAGCAAGGACAGACACAGGCTCTTGGCAATAGCCTGTTCTATGTGCACTGTGGGCATGTCCATTTACCCTGCTTTATTCTGGAACCTGTTAGAACAGTCCCCATACCTTTCCCAAGGAAAGGAGAAATGGGATGGGGAGTGGGGTTAAGGAGTGGAGAGTATACTTCCTAAACTCACATAGGAAGGAAAACATTTCCTTAGTTAGTTAGAGTGCTCCACTCTCAAAGCCAGCATGTTCCCATTATTGCAGTTTTCTTTGGTGTCCTTTTTGAGCCCCTGCTAGGCCTTCCCAGAATAAAAAAGTAAGTGTTCTCTCAACATTCGCTGCTCACTTTGTTCCCCCAAGGAAGTGCTTCATATTTGTGACTGTACTAAGGACTCCATGGAAGCATTTCATTTTCTCCGTTCTAGTGGTTGGGATGGAGGGGTATAGCTCATCAGCAACCCAATAACATAAATGAGCACTACCAGGGTCCATAACAAACTGGCCTAAGAGCTACAGAGTTCAGAGAGGTTGACTTCAGTTTGAAAAATTGGGAACAGTAAACCTCTCCATGTATCTTACTAAGTCCCTTATTGAATTCATGCTTCAAATAACTATGCCTCCAAAATTCCCCATTGTCAGACTTGATGGTCAAGGTTGGGCCTTCTCAAATGGAGTTAACAATAGAACTTTCTCAAATTTGAGTAGGTCCCAAGAATCACTTCTGTGCTTATTTTCACCTATAGTCACTGAACAAAGACATAGATGCTAGAACACAATGAGGACTAGTCCCTGCAGGGACAAGTGCCTAGAGAGAATATGAAAGGAGTCACTGCCCCTAAGAAAGCAACCCAGTTCTAACAACTCTAATCTGCTTTATATATTGGGGTTTCACATGAAATTTTTCTTGAAAATTATATTATGCTCCTAAAAAATGAAAAAGAAAACAAGTTTGGAAACCATCAAGATAGACTGTCTCCTTACTTTTAGGCAAAAATCTAAACAATCCTATACAGAAGTTTAAAGATGTAGAAAAGCGATATTCTACCTACCTGAGCTCAGGGCAGTGAACAGGAGAAATAAGTAGCCTTAGAGTCCAAGAGACATAGGGTCAGCCCTTAGCTCTGCAGTGATGAGCTGTGTGACCTTAAGCAAGTAACTCAACCTCTCTGTGTATAGAGTGGGGATCAGTGTATTTCACTCATAGGAGGTGCTAAGTGTGAAATGGGATCTCATGAGTAGAAAATTCCTCAGCTTTGCAGGCCACAGAGCATGTTCAACGGAGTGCATCTTCTCTGAGCTTTCCGTCCCCCTCAACGTACTCTCCCTGGTAAAAAGACCTTTTCTACCCCATGGTGAAAAACTCATTTGCTCTGATTTGAGCCCCAGCAAAGATAAAGGATGCCGGATGTCACTGGGGAAGTCTTTGTAGAAAATTCTTTGGCTACTTGTTTATTTTCTCTTCCTTCCATGTGGCGCCATCATAAGGACTTGAGCTTTTGTCTGCATATTTAGTGCTATATCCCCCAGTGACCTTCAGAATAGTGCTTAGTACCTAACAAAATATTTGTTGAATGACAGGAAATTCCTGTAGACTGTGAGCAAACTCCCCAGCTTTTTCTTTTCTGGTTTACAGTGTTCTATCACTTCACTGTTTTCCATAAAGAACTTTTATTCCAATGTTTATTCCAATTTTAATCATGCTTTTCATAGTATTTGACAACTGTGGCAATTAGAATGCAGAATACTTAAAGTGAGACAAAACTGTTTTCTCTCCTGAATGGTGATACACAGAAATAAGCTTGACTCTTAGGTTTTTAGTTTAACTTGCTCACTGCTTAAAACCAACACCCTAAATGCTATTCTTAGTACAGGGAGTGAGATGTTACATCTGTAATTCAAAGAGGGTATAAATGAAATTTCAACCAGAATGACAGGATTTGCAAAGTTGATGTGTAAATAATTGTGGTGAATAGCATATACCATATATGTTTATAGAACTACTATAAAATAAAGGACTTTAATAAAAAGTTTTAAAAGGAATCAAGAAGAGTATGACTAATTTCCTAAAGTACTTTAAATTATTTTTACGAAACCATGAAATAAGTATAGAACTCCATTATTCATACTATAGGAACGATGGCAAAATAAAATTCTTTCAAATAAAGCAAGGAAGATACGTAAGTCAAACACTAATTTTGGCATCGAGAGGAGTGTCTTTGTTAAGACTCATGAAAAGGATAAATATAGAACAACATAAGAAGAAACAAAAGGCTTTTTATTGGAAACTTTTTAAATGGCATCCAAATTACTGAGGATTTTTCTGTTTGCATATAGACTGTGATAAGTAGATGCTTACTTAAAAGTGAGACCTGGAAGATACTTCAGGCAAAGTGTTTCTAGAGCCCTGGAAACTCAACAGTGATGTGCCCAAGTGGAACTAAAGAGAAACCTTAAAGTTACCCTCACGGTTTGCTTTACAAGTCGAGGGTCAAAAAGCAAAGCTGGCTATGCTACTATGAAGTAGTCACCTTAATACTACACCAACCCTGCTCTTCTGCCATAGATGAATGGTATTATCTCACACAGAGAGATTTGCCTGTTTACTTATGTGGGATAGTGAATGCTAAACTTGCACAGTGTACTGACACCCAAAAAAACAGTACTGACTTGAAACCTAGGACAGTGCTACTTAAAGCCTTTGGCATGTTGGCCATTTCAGCTTCCTGCGTAAGAGTACCCTGAACCAAGTGTCTTTCTCTCTTGATACACCCAGTAAGAGGATAACACTTTCAGAGCTTGAAAACACAAAGAAGAATGTGGAGAGTAGCAACTAAAAGCAGTGATAAAGCTTCTTTCTCAGAGCATCAGAAAGCTGAGGCAATAAGGTCAAGTGGCACAGTTCAAGGGATAAGCTTAAATAAAGGAACTTTCCTCTGGGGTTGGATTTCTCATACAGCTCTGTCTTTAAACTCAGAGTTTGAAGGAAAGATGGTTAATGTTATTTTTAAAAATCACTGATATACAGGCTTTTTATCCCATGTTCCAGAAAGGAAAAAAAGAAAAGATAAGGTGATAGAAGGGAAGGAAAGATACAGGAACAGACAGAAAAGAAAAAGATAAATAAGAGGGCACAGAAAAGGAAAAAAAAAAAAAGAGGAAGAAAAAAAGGACAGAAAGCCAGTCTTTTTATTATCTAATCTCAAAAGTTTCAGCCTGTACTCTTTGCATATTTTAGCCATCAGAAATGAGTAACCAGATCCAGACCAAACTCCAGGAAGGGAGATTACCTGATAGCATGGATAAAAGGGGGCAGGGATCAAGGGAGTCAACCATAGCGCTTTTAACTGAAGAGTAAGACACAGAAAAATATAGATTATGAAGCATCTGTATATAATAGGAGCTTCATTTAAAAAGAAATAGTAGTAAACTACAGCTTCTGGTAAGAATCTTACTTAAAAGTCATAGATGTGTACCGCCCAAAGAAGGCTTGATAAACCTTAAGGTAGTTAATTAACATCTAAAAACATAAACTGTCTAATCATCAAGATAGCTTTGGGTGGATGTTTCTGCTAATGGGATAGAGCCTTCTAAAATGTTTACTTGCCCTTATGAGAACTAGAAAAATCATAGGGTAAGAGCAGGTGTTCCTAGTTGCTAGGAGAGCAAAATCCCAATAGAGATTAGTCATTTTGAAGGTGATACTTAATAATAGCATTTATTTTTAACTGTAGTATTAGTGAAAACAATCAGGCAGGCAGTGTTGAGATCAGAGGCTAAATGCAGCACTTGTATTTTTCTGAAGTAACATAAAAGAAAACTTCATTTGTGATGAAGGGAAATCACTCCTGAATTGTAATTCTCCGATGGTTCTAGGCTTCTACTATGAGTTTGCACAAAGTCTGTGATTCTATGTATGAAACAATACTTATTCCTGGGATCAACCTGTGTTATTACAATGTTTATCATATATTGAGGTGATCGGCCTACATGTCAGTTTCCCTAAAACATACCTTTTGAGTGCAGAGTCCTTGCATTAGTTTCTTTACATCCTCCACTCCTAGCACAGTGCCTGCAAATAGGAGACACTCAAGAAATATTTACTAAATGTTGTTGAATAGTCTGTTTCTTTCCCTTTGAAAAACAATTCAAAATAGGATATTTAGAATTCAAGATTTAGTAGGACATTATCATTTTTAGTATAGAGGCTGGGGATTTAGCTGAGTGGCACAGCACCTGCCTGGCAAGTGAGAGGTCATGAGTTCGATTCCCGGTACTGGAAAAAAAACAAAAGATAGTTTGGACATTTTTAGTACATCAGGTGTGACTCAGTAATTTTTTAAAATGGTAATTCAAAGATCTCAAAATGGATCAGTCATAAAAATCTAATTTTTACAATCTTACTTAAAATAGTTTTATAATAAGATTCTACAGGAAATGAATAATTATACATTAAATGATCAAAGTCCTTACATATTTTCCCTTTTCCTCTAAAAGAATTGGTAATCATGGATATATAAAAATAGACTTCTTTGAATGTAGATATTGCACATAGATGAAGTATGCTGATAAGGAATTAAAAAGGCAACCAATGTGATTTTTTCCTAAGATGAGAAGTACTCTGAACCACAGGAGAGTTTCATGTTTCTTCTAGAATGCTGGGCTACTCCTTACTGACTTCCTGATTCTCGTCAGTGAGTTCATACCCCTTGATTTCATTGCCCATCTGCTAGCAGGTGGTGTGCTCCAAGCTGGAGCCACGGTCTCTTCTCAGCAAAGTGGCACAGAATGGTGCATTTAAACTGCTCCCTCATTCCCGTCCCTATGTCCCTCCTTTATCCTTCCTCTTTTGTTGTTTTTTAATCTTTATCCTCCCCTACTTTGCTTGTCTCCTCAGACACTTTGTGCTGGTTGACCGCTATCTCCTTCTTTTTTCTCTCTTCACTCCCCATCCATACTCACCATCCGCTCCATTTTACTTTATTTTTTTTGTCTTTTTGAGACAGGGTCTCGCTATGCAGCTCAGACTGGCCTTGAGCTCACTTTGTAGCCCAGGCTGGTCTCAAACTCGCAGCTATCCTCCTGCCTCAGCCTCCCAAATGCTGGGATTACAGGCGTGTGCCACCACGCCCGGCTCTGCTCCATTTTAAAATACACTTTTCGGGGCTGGGGATTTAGCTCAGCGGCAAAAGCGCCTGCCTGGCAAGCGCAAGGTCGTGAGTTCGGTTCCCGGTACCGGAGAAAAACCAAAAAAAATAAAAAAATAAAAAAATAAAATAAAATAAAATACACTTTTCTTTTTACTTAGTCATAGAATCTTTTTTTCTTGCTCATCCTACTCTTATCCTCAGCCGGCCATGCTAATTTTTGAAAGTTTGTACTTAAATGATCATGTAGTGAGATGCACGCAAGAGGAGGGCAGATGGGACAAAGAGTGTCTTTAGTGTTTATTCCAATTTCATAGCCCAGGTGGCCTCAAACTCATAATCCGATTGCCTCAGTCTCCTAAGCATTAGGATTACAGATGCTACCACATCTGGCTCTGTTTTCTCCTTTCAACAGTTCCAGCATCTGCTGTAAAGAAAGCTTGCCTTTTTTGCTCTCTACCTCCCAGGATGTTCTCAGTCTTTATTCCACCCCTTTCCTAAATAGCATTATTCTGATTTGGTGAAGCTAAAGACAGTACATAGAGAGCATCAGAGCACTTAGCAAAATGAACTGAACTGAGAGAAATGACTGTAGTACTTATGCCCTTAGAGAAGAGTCACCAGGTTAGAGTAAAAAAGCCAGGCAAGAAAAGCCAAGAGGATCAACTGAATTGGACCTGTTGCAACTCACAAGAGGCAAAGCCATCACATTTCAGTTACCGGTCTAGAACCAATGTAGTCCAGAGATGACCTCCACCAAGACAGGTCCCATGGGGCACAGAACACATCAATACACGGGGGTACACACTGGAGCCGTACATGAAGTATAAACAAGGAGCCATTTTCTGTCTCATTACTTTAATCATTTTGTCAAAATAATCTGAGTATGTGTACATAAATACTTTGGTTTATTAAAAGAATATTAGCATAAAAGTCCCTGAAACACATCAAGATTGACTTGAAATGTATGCCATGCAATTATTCATCAAATTACCAATGACTTGGCTTTTCATCCTTGATATCTGGGGCATGTGATATATATATATATATATGTATATATGTTTTTTTTTCAGATTCTCCCTCTCTGATGCCTAGTTTTCTGTCAGTTACTGCTCCTGTATATAAACTCCAGACTGTAAGGGGTGCACACTGGGAGGTGAATTGGCTCTTTAAGTCCTAGGGTGCCAATTAGAATGATAGCAAGTGGAACTAGAAGGCCCCTAGAGCATAATCTCTCCAACCCCTCATTTTGCACTTAAAATGACAGAATCTCAAAGGGGTTGTGTCTCGCACAGGTACAGCTGGTTCTGCTACTACTACTGTCCCCTCAGGCAAATCCTTCAGTGGGTCTGGACCTTGGCTGCTCCCTCTGTAAAGGGACTGGAGAAATCACAGCCAGCGTTTTCGAGGTGCTTCCCACATGCCAGGCACTACACTAAGTACTTAAGTGTCTTATCTCACTCTTTCAATATCTCATAAATTATGCATGTTTACCATCAATTAAAGATGAGACTATCAAAACAGAAAGCTCAAATAATTTTTTCCCAAGATCAGACACCTAGGAAATGTTGCAAAGCTGATATAGGAACTTGGGAGTATTTGCCTCCAAAATTTTTAAATTTCAATCCTCAAATCCTTTCCAAGAAACCTCCATCATAAAAGAAAAATGTACAGCTAGTTTTCCAAATTCCTTACATCGCCAAGAGTCTACAGTAGAATTAGCAAACTATGACCATGGGCCAAATCCAGTCACTCGTTTGTTTATGTATTGTCTGTGGCTGCTTTTGCACTCCAACAGCAGGGTTGAACAGTGGCAACAAAGACTTCCCGGCCTGCAGAACTTGACATATTTATTCTCTGCCCCTGCACAGAAAATGTTTCCAGAGCCCTGGTCTACAGCCATGGCAATTTAGAGCATCTTGTAATGGCACAGCACTTTACAACGTACAAAGCACCTTGATATACATCATCACATTTAATCCTGATTTTAGGGAACCTCATGCATTATGAAGGAAGCTAAAACTCAAGAGTTTATATCCAATTTTTGTAATTAAAGACACAAGAGCATAACGTGGCAGAGCCACATATTCAGGTTGTGATTTCAAACTGCACTCATATGCATTCTATCTTGTGCTACATAATTAATAAACACATGGTTAGATCTAAATGGACTTAATACTAGAAGAACACTGGCAACAGATGTGAATTTTACAATATAGATTTACCAAAACAACAACAAATGTGTTCAAAGAAGGTACAGATCCTTCTTCCTGCTCTGCAAATTCAAGTTTAATCTAAATAATAATTATGATTCTTGAAATAGGGCTTTAAGGACTTACTTGAAATATACAATATGAGGCACCTTTTTTATTTCAGATTTATTCTGTAACACACCTTGAGATTTCATTTCAGACATAAAATTGGGTATGAGGGCACCCTGAAATCACTGCAAGAAGGGATACTGCATTTGTAAACTTAATGTTTGGTCTGATATATATCATACATAAAAAGTATGATGTATCATAGAGGTAATATGATATATATGTTATTTAATATGATAAATATATCATATGTCTATAGAGAAACATATAGATATCTGGATACCCACTATTAGAGATCTTCACTTATTTTCTAAAATGAGAGAATCAAAGCACCTAGTTTTAAGTGAACTTTTCAAGTATGTACACATTGTATGTGCACAGAGGTAAAATTTGCTTTCTATGACTCAGTTAATTGCACTAATCAAATACAAAATTACTTCTTATTTAACGCTGTATAAAACTAATTAATCTTGGACCCTGATCTTTATGATTAACACTAGTCACTGAGAGTCCTTATTTGGACAGAGAACTCTGATCATTTCATGCTTTAAATCAAATAGCTTTTTAATGATTGACTTATGGTGTGTATCACTGAAAATGCCACTTTGTCCAAATGGGTTGTGCCAACTGTTTTATCGAAGTCACCATTCACCTTTGGCAGTAGTGGACTGTAAGAGCCCTGAAGAGAAAGACATTGCCTTATTCATTTTCATATCTTCCCCACAGCCCTAAGTCTAGTGTTTGGGACTGTTTGGCTCCCTGCTGATACCTGTTGAATATGCTGGTCACTCAACAACCTATAAAGATAAAGTATTTATTCCCAAGCTGGATCCCACTGCAGTCTCAAGGACAGGAGAAATGTGAAGATCTGCTCTCCAGCTCTACCGACTAGCAGGGGAAACTCCTGGAACCAAGTGAGCCTGGCAGAGTTAGCCTTTAACAAAGGACAGAGCAAGATAATTGTAGGCACTAGGTTTAGTTCCATTCCCTAGGATGTAAACACTGAAAAACTGACAGAAACAAAAACTGCCCTGACACCATAAACTCTTCTCCTTTTGCCCGGCTCCACCATGCAGTACATCTCCTTCACTGCTCCGCACAGGCGAAGCCAGCACCTCTGAAGGGCTGACATTCCAGTTGGAAATCTGGGTCTAGTTAAGACATGAAATAAATAATTTTGTACACAGTGACACTACGGCTTTCTTCTCTTTTCTTTATAAACACACATTGCTTTGCTGGGAAGAGGGGGAGAAGAAGGCTGCTTGTGCTTTATTTTCACATTTGTACTTTTAATGTTTTTTTTTTAAATTCAGGCTATAGGGAAAATATAAAGACAGAAGAAATAAATTAGGAGAGGGTTATTCACATTGTAAAGGGATTTTCCATAGGGCTCCATTAAATACTGAACTCCCTTAGGGCACTGGACTCGGGATGTAATTTAGATGCAGCTTTTCAGGAGTATATTTGTTGTATAAATTGAGGTGCATCCATACATTCATCTTAATTCTCTTCCAAGGACAATCCAGCACTTGTTTCCATTTATAGGGTGCAAACAATCCTTGTTAATAAACTGAGTTCCTCACCTTTCCCTGGAGCAGAGGCTTTAAGGAATCAAACCAACAAAGAAAAAGGCTCACTTGTGGACACAGCCCTACCACTGTCTCACACCAACGCTCTTTCTAAACACCAGGGTTTGCTCCAGCTTGGTCCACGCAAATGTGACCTGGGAGCGGTGTGTATGAGATCTGGAGTCTGCACAGGCTACAAATGTGGCTCGTGGCAGAGGAAATTCAACGAAACTTTCCCACAGGCTTTTCGTAAAAGCCTTTCCCTAAGCTACCTCTTCACATCTGTACGGGGTAAGGAAGAGCCCCCTTCTTCACTCAAATGCTCATCTACAACAGAGGGAGCACAACTGCTAGTTATGCTAAAGATCATGAGAACCCAGGATCCTTGCCACCCCATCCTTGTGCTAATTAATATTAATCGGTAAATCACCTTAATCCCAGAGAGCAAAAATAGGCGACTGGAGAATTTAGTCCCATGAATTGGCGGCAGTCAAGGATACGCCCAGCAGAGAATCAAAATGGTCACATTCTAGGTGGCTTCACCGCTCAAACCAGTTGGCCAAGTTGCGAATGCTCTTGGACCGATCCCCAGCAGTCTGCACTGCCTGGCAGGCCCGACACCAAGGCTCGTCCCAGAACGAGGTGATGTGCACCGCGTACCTCCGGCGCCAGTGGAAGTAGCGGCGGTAGACAGCTAGGTTTCGATCTAGGAAAAGCAGGTAGGCGGCCAGGGAGGAGGCACTGGGGAAGTCGTCCACGTGGATGAAGGAGTCACGGGGCACAAAACGCTCATAGTTGGCACGATCTGGGCCTAGAACCACCGGCACCGCCCCAGCCAGCAACGCGTTGCGCCAGAGCTTTTCGGTAATATAATCCAGGTGCTGCGAGTTCTCGAAAGCCAGGTAGAATTTGTAGCGGGCCACTGTGTGCAGGAGCCCGCTGTTAGGCACCGGACGCCCAGGCCCGCTCCGGCCGAACACGTCAACGGGCAGGTGCTGGCTCAGCTGGTGGTAGTAGCGGACCCTGGCGTGGCGCTCATCCCAGTGGCTCACCACCCAGGCCACCAGGCCCCTCTTCCGGGCCAGCGGCGGGACCAGGCCCATGGGCTGGTCGCCGGGGTGTTTCCTGGGGTAAAGGTAACCGTAAGGCACGAAGACGTCGGAGTCCGCCCGGTACGACAGCGTCCAGTTGAAGAGGTTCCCTGCCAGGGCCCGCAGCCCCGGAGAGTGGGAGGGCGACTCGAAGTTCATCCACACCCAGCGCTGGCCCGGGGGCCGGGGGCCGGGCATCGCCGCCCCCTCCGGGCCGTCCAGCGCGCGCAGCCGCAGCTCCTCCGCCGAGCGCACG